CAAGTCCAGTTTTTGCGTGCTTTAAAAGGTTTTTAAAGGTTTAAAAGGTTTTAAAAGGTTTAACAGCCCTACCTGGTTGCCATCCAAATACTCTTGCTGATTGGTAGAACGTAACAGAGGACACAATTTGGCTGATCTATGGTCTTGTCCGAGCATCATGAATGACACGGATATCCCAGATTAGTCTGAGAAGACATCATCGGGACCGAAGAGAAGATTACACAGTGCCCGCTCACACAAACTGTGGTCAGTGCTATCAGTGTCTAGTTGTACCTACCACAGGATTCACCAAAACTTGCAAGAAGAAGGTAGGTCAGTTCTTAGGGAATATCAGGAAAATAGAGTGAGGTCGGTTAGGTGACACAGCAGTTCATTTTGTGGAGTGGTGGGACAAAAGAACTGTCCCTGCCAGCCAGTGAGTTAGATTTTCCTGTAAAGTTACTTAGAAATATTTATGTTTAGAAAAAAAATTCCCACTCCTAGCTGTGTATTTCACTTCTCTCCCATACTGTGACTTGCTTAATTCTTACTTACCTTTTTTTCCCTCATCATTCTTCAACACCTTCTAGAATGAAGATTTTGCAAATGGTCTTTGCACACACTTTTGTATTTTGGGTGTTTGTCTCCCACTTCTATCTTTGAGCATACATATCATGGAAGGAATAAATAGTTCTTGGTAATTCTTGTTTCTTTAGAATACATGGAGGTACTTACAGAATGTGGTTCGCATTGCAGAGAAACACACATCTTTGGGAAAGGTCTTATAGGGAAGGAGGGACAGTAGGGATTCTAGAATGAGAGTCCCAGACTAACAGATGGGAACCTCGTTCCTAGTACCAGCCCTGCTGGTAGCTAACATAGTGACCTTGGGCACGTTCATATCTCCGGGCTTCAGGTCTTTCATCTGTACCATGAGGGTACTGAGCAAGATGATTTGTAAGAATTCTAAAAATTATAAAATATCTCCTCTTTCAGGCGCCTGGGTGGCTCAGTTGGTTAAGTGACTGCCTTCGGCTCAGGTCAGGATCCTGGAGTCCTAGGATCGAGTTCCACATTGGGCTTCCTGGTTGGCAGGGAGTCTGCTTCTCCCTCTGACATTCCCCCTCTCATGCTCGCTCGTGCTGTCTCTTTCTCTCTCTCTCATTCTCTCCCTCTCAAATAAATAAAATCTTTTAAAAAAATGTATCTCCTCTTTCTACGTTGGGAGCCAGGGAATTCTGCATTGTAAGATTTGGCCAAGGATCCCTCTTTTTGTGGCCTTGGCCAAGTCCCAGCATTGTCCTTTGTTTAAGACATGGCTGCAGTACGCATTTCACAGGTATTTTCAAGTGATTAGTTAATGTTCCTCAAAAGCTTTGAAGAGCTTTTGTGTATGTTGTCTTTCTGTCCGCTTTCATGCATGGTCCCTAATAGAAACCAAGCATTCTGTAAATGAAATCAGCATTCCTTGTAAAGTCAACAAGGGTTTTTGACATTTCCCAGTCTAAATATGAAAGCAGTGGAACACTGAGCCTGCATAAAATTCTATTTAAAATACACATTTAATAGTTTTCTCCCTTTCACTCTGGAGGAGAACACATTTTCAGTTCCAGAATGTAATGGTAATTACGCTCGATAGTTGCTACTGGAGTTGCCATCAGGGTAGTAAAATCTGATCAGTTTGGACTCTGCTAATTTGTAACTGGGGTGATTTTACCTGGCTGAAGTTTATTTCTAAACGATGTATGAGGAACGTTGTTGTTAAGCAAATTAATAATGTAAAGCGGATTTGGTGGACCGTATTTCTACTTAAAGGAATTATTTTTAAAGCCTTTGGCATGTTAGTTGTTTGCTCATGAGAGCTAATTAAAAATGATTCCTAGCAATTTATTAAAGCAGGAGAACTGAATAGAAATAAATGTTCATCATTGGATGTAAGCTTTTAGAGTTTGGGTGTCTTTACCAGTGCTGAGTGTGGTGTGGAGGGAAATCAGTCTTGTTTCCTTTTCACTTTGGGCAAATATGACAATTGTAGAGGGCCCCCAAAACCGGTTGGTGCTATTGGTTGATTTCTTTGGAGCCTGAGGTTAGATAAAGTTTATGTGGGTTTTTTGAATACGTTGTTTGCAAAGAAGAATAACTGGAGAAGCTTTGCAATGAAGTGATCTTCACCTGTTTGTGGGGGTTACCCCCTTGTTTCGAGAACTCCACATTTGCCCTATATCCCACTCATAAATGTTGAGTTGACTTTATAGACTGCTCACACCGCTTTATGTTTATTTGTTTTTTTATGTAGTTTTGGGGGGGGGGTCTTTGTTCTCAGAAGTTGTATTTGCATTTACTGCTTTGTAATATTTTCATAAGCTGGAAAGGTGGTTGAATTTCCTTTCCAAAACATCACTTCTTTGCTACATATAGCTAGTTTGTAACTGTTTTGCATTTTATATTTGTAAATGAGAATGCTTTACATTTTTGGAATGGGACATTCCAAACTTGCTTGATGAGTGTGTGTGCACGTGTATGTGTGTGTGTTTTGTTCAGGGGCTTTCCAACAAGTTGGAACTGCTGGTTGTTGAACCTGGGACCTTTTTACTCCATACCTATTAAGCATGATTACAGAAAGCCTTGTAATGTAAAATATTGACTAGGATTTATTTGTATTAGTGTTTTTTTTTTTTTTTTACCTCTTAAATGTATTTTTCTCTTTAAGGTATTGATAAATACTCCTTTCTCTGATTTCTTTGAAGAATTTTATGAGACAGTTCTGTGTGTGGCTACTAAAAAGAGAAATACAATTTAACTTTTTAAGTTGCTTGCCTGGGTTTTTTGGGAGTGCTTGCGTATGGTCGACTGAATACAAATTATTTGTGAGTTAGTGATGGCTGACATCTACCTACTATTTAATGAAGTTTATGCATTACTGGTCCATCTTTCAAAATAAGCTTTCTCTCCATAGATGTGTGTATGCATGTGGTGTGTGTATATACTGCATATACATGTATGGGTGGCCGTCATAGGAAAATACTCTTTGCTTGAATATTGATGTGTATCTTCAAGGAAGGTATTTGTAATTACCAGGAGCTCATTTCACACTGCATTTCTGGTATATTCAATTCTATATTGTGGAATTTTTGAAGGTGGTTTCTTCCTATGGTAACATCCATCTGTGCTTTTTGAATACAAATGAGAAACCTCTTAAGGGACCACGTCTCAGTCTTTTTAAAAACTAGGAATAATTCAGAGGGAGTATCCGAAAGCCAGCCACTGAAGTTAGAAGCACAAGTTTATTGTTTGCACACAGACCCGAAAGTAAATACGAGCTGTTTGTC